TATTATTATTATTTTTATTATTATTATTATTTTTATTATTATTATTATTTTTATTATTATTATTATTTTTATTATTATTATTATTTTTATTATTATTATTATTTTTATTATTATTATTATTTTTATTATTATTATTATTTTTATTATTATTATTATTTTTATTATTATTATTATTTTTATTATTATTATTATTTTTATTATTATTATTATTTTTATTAATAATAAAACTTGATTAGGCCAAGAATTGGTCTTTGCCTTTTGCTAAGTCTTTATTTTTATCAGAAAAGTGAGACTAAACTTAGGCTCAGTGTTGAGTGTCATGAAAAATTATTCGGTTGTTGTTGTTTATCAAGGAAGTATATTTTTATAGAATTGGTGGTGGTTCATTCTCAACGGTGTATAAAGGTATATCAAAACCCAGTTCCAAAACTGGCGTTCCTTATGCGGTGGCCATTAAATGTATGGATATGAAGTTCGCAAATTCATCGAAGCTAAATTCTGATTGTGTGGTTTCTGAGATAAGTATTCTAAAAAGACTAAAACACAGGTTTGTTTGTTTGTCTTTCATTTTGATTATCAGTAGCAGTGATAACAATAATAATGAAGAAGAAATAAAGGAATATCGTACGATTACACGATTTCGAATGGGATAAGAAGAACATCTATTTAATAATGGAATATTGCGGTGGTGGAGATTTGTCCAGATTAATCAGAGAGTATGGTCAATTGTCCGAGTTAATAACAAGACGCTTATTTCGTCAGATTGCATCTGCGTTATTTTATATGCGAGGGATGAATATTGCACATATGGATTTAAAGCCACAGAACATTCTGTTGACTAGCCTACAGCGACCATTTATTAAGGTATTATGATTATTGTTCCCGCTCTCAGTTCATTACTGGATTATTATTTATCTCTTAAGGTATCCGATTTTGGTTTATCGCAGTACTTGAAAAATGATGAATCGGCGTCTTCATTCAGAGGTTCCCCTCTTTATATGGCACCAGAAATTTTCACTCGACAAAAATATGATAGCCGTGTGGATCTTTGGTAATTATTGTTATTATTATCATTATCATGCATTATTCTTTCATTGTTATTGTTAACGTCAGTACTGTTATTTTCTTTGAAGTGTTGTCTTCAGTGCTGTAACATTTTTCTTTAATTATTATAAAGACTGTTTTTTCATAAAAGATTTTTTGCAGTTATTAATATTGTTGTTATTATAATTATAATTTTAGGTCATCAGGAATCATTTTATACGAGTGTCTCTATGGCAAACCACCGTTTACAGCGGAATCTTATGAAAGACTTATCGAACAAATTTTATCGTATGAGTCCATAAAATTCCCGTCAAATGTGCAACTGTCGTTCGATTGTTTGGATCTCTTACAAGGTTTATAATAATAATAGTAAAGAAAATAGTAGTGATAATGATTGATAAATAATTACAGGATTACTGGTACGTAATCCTCATCACAGAATTGAATTCAAGAGTTTTTTTGCTCATCCATTCGTTGATTTAACAAAATTGCCATCGTCAAATCAGTTGACGATGGCTGATGAAGATGTTCTTAGAGCGAAGCAATTGGAGGCCAACGGTGTATGTTTTATTTATATCAGTCATTATTAATTGTGGGTATTGCTATTATTATTATTATTATTATTATTATCAGTGTTATAATTATTATGGTAATTGTTCCAATCCAGTGATAATAATGATAGATTCGGAACGAATTTAGAAAAAATCTATTTCAGAATATAATTGATGCAGTGAAACGTTTGACAAATGCAATCCAGCTGTATATGGGTTGTTTGGAGTTATTCGACAGCGATGAAGAGAAGTGTAAATTTAGGGAAAAAATAAAAAATTTATTGGAATATGCGGAACGTTTGAAAGATAGCTTAAAACCAGTGCAGCGAGCAGAATTTCAACCGAATAATTCAATTGTTATAGTCACAAATGATTGGCCAGATTATCCACAAGTTGGTTGTTGAGATTTGATGTTTTTCGTCGTTTGTGTATGTGTAAATGGAAGGATTGTTATTGTTGTTGTGAGCTGAAGAAGTGAATGGTATTAGTGATGACAATTATAAGAATTAAGGTGGATGCAGCAATGCTATTGGCAAAAACAGCAAAAGAGTTGGAAGTTGCCGAAAAATGGAGTCAAGCGTATGATAAATATATGTTAGCAATTGAAGGTTCGATGAAGGTTTTGAAACTGGTTAAGGAAGTGAGAAATGATAATAATATGAACAGCAATAACGAACGTATTACATTATTGCGGCGTAAAATATCACAATGGTTATCGTCAGCTGAACGAATTAACGTGATTTTTTACCTTTTATTCATTCCACTTTTTAGTTTATCTCATTTTTTATGCAACAGAAAGTATATTCTCTAATTTGGTTCACTAGCAAAACTAAACACTAATTATCGTCTTTGAATTGTCGTTGGTTATTCGTTAGGCTTATTTGGAAGTGTTAAACAATGATGTATGTGTACCGAAGGCAAACGGAGACGAAGAAGAGGCAGAAAAGCAATTCTTGAAGCTTGCAACTGCAGGTAAACAATGCTGCTTGATGTAACTGACGATCAGTGATAGCGTTTCATTCTGATTGCTTAAATGAGACCATGCTGTTAAATTTTCATTTCGTTGCTTAGCTGGCCGCAATGTGCTTCCTTTGACTCTTTGACATTCATTGTAAGGTCGATGTGATGTGATATGACGATATTGATGATGGTGGTATGAAATTTTGAATGAAGTGATTTATTTGTTAATTTTGTCATGTTATAAGAGATAACTTGACAATAATTTTGGTCTGTAATATGTCTTCGATATTACACCTAGTCTTCTTGTTTACGCCAATTCGATTTTTTTGATATTTCCACTCAACGGATTCTGCATTTTGGAAAAATTTTTATCGATCTGTATATATTTATGTTTTTATGTTTATAATTCAATTATCATTATTATTACAAATAATCAGCATATGTTGATTTCATTAAAAATGAATGAATAAATATTCCATTAATTGATCACATGTCACGCTGTGAATGAATGAATAAATTTATCAGTTGGTTAATGATACTAATAGTTAGTAATATCTATGTGTGGTGTTTATCTGTCATTGATTATTTAACAATCTTATTCATCGCATTTATGGTTACTTTTATGTTGTTGCTACTTATCATCGGGAATGGGGGAGTGAAAGTGAGAGCTGTGTATAGAGATGAAATGAACAGGATATAGTTTCACAAAATTTGTTAATATTTTTATTCATTCACTGATCTAGTATATATATGGCATTCACAACAATCTTTCGAAATCATCAAAGTAAGCTCGGTTCATACATTAATCATCGTTTATCAGTCTTTCACTCTAATAATGTACAACCAAATCGACAACATATTTGGTGAAAAATTCAGGAATGATTTTACTGGTTGAGTACCTCTGAGGTATTGCAGAGACCGGGTGGTTGTGTTGAGTTTCCCGTTCGCAGGGGAAACTTTTGCCCGAGACCGAGTGGTGTATCAGTGTCATTGATTTTAGCGAGCCTAAACCTGGCTATCATTTGGCTTACGTCTAGTTGTCTGTTCATGTTAAAATGTTTTTAATTACCTTATCATTCTATGCCACTCGTAAACGATAGGTGATTGTGCATAAGTAGAGTAACGCTGGCGATGAAGATAGTAAATTGATGTAAGTAGTAATATTGTAGTTACACCTATGCAGGTATACACAAACCATAAATGTTTTCCTTCTCGTTTCATCATCAATTTCAACGTCTTTTTTCGGAAATTGTTTCTCGTTCTACAATTTTTGCGTCATCAGACTGAACATACTGCTGCCCATTTTTTTGATCACTCTCCTCAGCTGATTTGCAGTGATGTTCTTTAGCCGCATTCTTGTTAGTATTGATCAAACGCATTGCAAGCGAGCATAATATCCATCCCACTGATAGACCGTCTTCCATGCACTACTTTTAGTCGCATGTGTACCTATTTATTTCATGTCATCGATTCCGGTTTCTATTCTTGTCTTCCTCTTCAACTTCCCTGTTGGCGTTTCTTCCCCACACTTCTCACCTCACAGACGTAGGCACGCGCATGACGATTTCTTCGTTGTTTCGTGTGTGCGAGCGTCAAGAATGTTGGATGCGTCATGTGTGTTGTGTTACATGGAAGACTTGTAATGGTATTGAAAAGTTCGCGATGTAATTATTTATCTGTCAATGATTATATCACTTATCAATCATTTTTAATCAGTTTTTTCCTACACATTTTCGCTCGTTCACTTGTGTATGTTTCTGTCAAAGATTTTTTCATTAAAATTCATTGCTGTTCGATGTGCTTTACTTGGTTCCATTCGAATGCGTACACACCACATTCCTTTTGCGTTTTTCTATCATAAATCAATGGCATTGATATATTGTGTTTCTTACAAGTAATAACAATGTTAATAATTGTGATAGTGATAATGATTCGATATTTCACTCTCTTGTCAGTTATTATTAATTTCAAATTCTTCAAAATACCAGTCAGTATAATACGGCAAATTATTATGCTTTTATTTCACGTCCATGATTTTTTTCATCATCAGCAACCGGCAATGGACAGTAGCGTGCTATCGCTACATAGCAAAATAGCGAAGAAACTATTTCGCTGGTAGCGAAATAAGCTTTTCGCAACGCATCGATACTGTTTCGCTACGTTATGATAGCGCTTTCCTGCTCATCTTTGTCAGTAATCCATTCGACTTAATGTTGGTTGAATGCGTTTGAAAGATTCCATCAGTGGCGCTCTTAAAGTTGCACGAAAAGTCTAAATGCGATCCAGTTGAATGTCCAAAGGTTGTGCTTAATTTGAAAATTTGAGTGATTACTTAACCTCATCCAGCAAACGTTTGCAGTTTTGCATACACGCGCAAATCTTGTGTGTATCCGCAAAGATGATATCATCTATTGAAATGGTCTTAAAATTGAACTAAATTCCTGACTTTGTATATCTAATATTCATACTGCTGTCTCTAAAGTTAATGATATTAAACAAAAACTGGAGATAAAATGAAATGAAGAAATAAAGACGATTATGGATCATTGAGCTGAACAATTGAGGGCCATCTGATAAATTTAAATGTCATTTCTTATGTTAGTATTGTATTGCTGCAAGTATTTATCAGCCAACAGAATGTGCTATTGTACGCACAATGTCATTCGGATGCTTATCTTTGTAAATTCGTGTATTGCTGTCTTCATTATGCACTGTGACATTTTCGCTGCGGCAATATCTCAATCTGAAATGTGTAATTATCTTTTGCTTCTCATCACAATACTTCATCCAGAGGGGCGGTCAAATGATCGTAATTCTGTTTTTGTCGTGATATACTATGATATAAATCGAATTATAGCTGTCTAAAAGTTCGAAGTGGATATCGTTCATTGGTATTGCTATTGCTATTAAGCGTAATTGATTATTATTCTGTACTAATAGATGTAATCAAAGAATTCGTCATTTTCTTATGGTCATGGTGCTATTCATGCGGCCATATGGAAAGTGGTTGATTGATTTAGATGTGTTGTTAGTTGATTTTGCGCAGAACAGAAAATTTTGCTACAGAAGACAATCGGCTGCCTGGTTTTGTCAAGCTAGAGGGGCAAAAATGCTTGCATTTTTTGTGGCATTATTAATCTCAAATGGTTTTTTTGCGGTTGTGAACAGCTGTCTGCAACAGTTTGCTTCGGACCACCCAAGAGTAATGCTGCCGTGATTTACTGAATTATTTATCCATCTTATTGTGCTGCACGTTCGAAAGAGGTATAATGAAATATACACGAGTAGGTTCACCATAATTCATTGAACATAAGTTGTGAAGATTGGATTCTTCACGAATCTCGAAGATACATGTGGTAGACATACGTTATCATGTGTACGTGATTCTTGCATATGCTTTTTATATATGCTAGGAGTTTATCGGCAGTCACTGACATTTATTTGTGACGCACTCATTTTGTATATCTACAGTTAAGATCTCTTTCATTTATTTATTTTCAGTTTGGAATCATTATTGTCATTATTACATCATTTCGTGATAATCAAATTAATTAATTGATGAGTTGACTTATTAATTTTCATCATACTTTGTCATGCTGAGCCGCGTCCTGTTTTAAAAAAAAGATAATTGATGCACGGTCTCGCACTGAACATTTTTGTGTCCGAGGATGTTAATGCTTATTGATGTCAATGTTAAGTACCGTTGATGTTTCAGAGTGATTTTATTAAATTTAGCCTTGATAGGAATGGATGTTAATAATATGGTTGTAGCATTTCTGCTACTCATTTTTGTCACAGCTGGCTGAGTTCTTGATTGGTTGCGTTTGATGAGTGGCTGTTGATTGATCGAGTAACGGGGGAGTTGAATTCGGTGAATTCAGTCAATTTTTTGATGACTAATCGGATCGAAAATGAAACAGCGAGAAGATGGAAGAGGATTTGCTTGCTGGAGTGCATTGCAAACAGTCGTATTTACTGATTGATTGATTGATAGATAGCTGCTGAATGAATCAGTGAATTTTGCAATCATGTCAACTGTTCATCATTAATTGTAAGTGAGTGAGTGTAGCTCATGCGTTTTCCTTCAGTACTCCTAAAGAGGTAATGCGAAGATCGATCTGTTAACGAAGTGAAATGACGTGTGATGAATTGCTAATAATGATATTGATAACGGTAATGATGATCTAAGATAAATGAGCTTAAAAAAGGAATCAATAAGTTTACCAAGGCGTTTCTTTCTGTGCGGTTATAATCAGCAGTCAAATGGATATAGAATAAATTTGAAATGTGTTTATTTATCGTTATTGTCAATCAGTCATTAATCAGTTAACTAATTTTGCAATTAATTAGTTTAAGTTGGACGGTGAACAGTAGTGTGTAGTGGTGATTGGCAGAAGTGGGAAGTGATCTGATGTAATGGTGGTGGTGTGGTAGCAGTTGTGGGGTCAGCAGCAGGTATTCGTCGAGTTAAAAAAGCAAGTACGAGTAGAACAATGAATGCGAACGAGCATAGATGAAGCAACCAGCCAGCTGGCATTTTAATCTATATGAGTATGTACCACATATATTTATATATACAGGCAACAGTAGAAGACTATAGTATAGCAACATCATAACGTGATTCATTCATGTATCAATTGTGCATCTATACTGCTCGCAGAGGACACAAAATATCATAAAACATACGCATATCTTCCACATACATAGCATCAGCATCAGCAGCAGTTCATTATAGTATGTAGTCGACTGGATCGTGTACTTGAAGCTTTCTTTACTTAACGAACGAATACACTAACAATGAACGGAATTTGGACGTTGTTGTAACGTTATTTTACACTGAATAGACATCTT